CACACACACACACACACACACACACACACACACACACACACACACACACACAAAATCAGTTTTTGGTATGTTTGTTTTCCCGCCTCTCCCCTATTTTTTTCTAAGTATTTTTGTATGCCGAACTGAGCACCTCCAAGTAGTGCCAAACAGTCGGTGGTTCCTCGTTTGGAGTGCCTACTGCACTCTTATGGGGGCCGCTCAGTTCGGGACGTCTGTGTTGCCTGTAGGTGATGACGGATGCTCGTCGGAGTGTCTCCCTGGCTCAGTGGGTGGTGCGAACCAACAGTCTGTGGGGTTCACCCGTGATGTGAGTAGGTGATGTGCTGCTTTGCTCCGTGTTGGATGTGTGGACAGCCTCGTCTGCGCTCTGCCACTGCCTTGCTGCCCGTCCCGCTTGCCTCGCAGGTCGTTCTTGGCAAGCTGCTGTCTTCGCTGTGTGGTGTGGCCGAGTTGTGGTGTTGCCTTGTGCTTCGCTGCTCCGCTGCCTCGCCACCCTTCCGCGGGTCGTGCCTTCTGTGTCCTTTGCTTGCGCGCTGTGTAGTTTGGTTGCCGTGTTGGTGTTGCCTTGTGCTTCACAGCATGGTGTTACATCTTCGACGCCACACGGGTCCTACCGGACCCGACTTAGGGTCAGGGCCTAAAGGCCCGACCTTGGGGGTACTACAGGCCGTAAAGGCCTTACCTTGGACCAGACCCGACGGGCAGGCCCAAACGACATTACCGTTTGGGCCTGGCGGCGCTCTTGAGGCTGCCGCCCGCCGGTTGGGGCTGAACTGTCCATCTTGACGGTTCAGGGCACGGCCAGGCCTCGCAGCATTGAGGCCGGCCTCTGCCCCACCGGTACAAAAGCACCGGTCCAACCTCATTGAGGCTATCGACCCACCGACACTCTAACGGTGCGGTATGGTACGACGCGAATCTGTGCTGGCGCTATGTTTAGCGCAGGAGCACGAGGAGCAGCGCAGCATTAGCGCAGCAGCAGCAGCGGCGACTGAGCGTATCGGCGGCCATAGCCGCCTGAGGTATCGGGAGTCGGAGGTTTCTCTCCTCCCTCCCATCTCCAGTCCCTCTCTCTCTCTCTCCTCCTCGGCTCCCTCCTCCTTCTTCTTCTTCTTCTTCTTCTTCTTCTCTTCAAACTCCATCTTCTTCTTCTTCTTCTTCTTCTTCTTCTTCAGATTGGAGACTTATACTAGTTGGACAGAGATCAGAGTTGGACTTCGGTGGTAAGAGGCTGTGGTACTTACCGGTTTCGAGACTTGAAGATTGTTGGGGATGATACTCGGCTGCAGCACAGATTTGACACCGGTTACATTAGGACTCTGTATCTCCGACATTGGTGACTCATTGTCCTCGACATTTTGATCTTGTTCGATGACATTTTGGATTACCATATCGGTGACCTACTGGTTTCTATCTCGGTGACATGTGGTGCTACCTACATCTCCCACCTCCTTCGTCTCTCCTCCCACCTCTCATCTGTGTATGTGTGTACGAGGTCTGGGCATTGTCTATGCTTGGCCCAGACCCCACCATCTCACGATTGTATGTGTGTGGAGTGATATCTATGTGAGTCAGTCTATGTGAGTCAGTCCGTTTATCAGACTTCCGCTGCATATATGCTCATCCTACATTGGTTGATCTTTGGTTCTGCCCATACTCATTGAAGTATGTAACAGTTTTGGTATCGGAGCAGACCAGTTTACGGATCTGCTCACCAGGTAAGTCTGATTAGGAGTTAGATTGATTCTTCAATCTTCCAAATCAGCGCTGTATTACTATCGAGTTCAAAGTTGCAATTTTTTTTTCTTTTTTCGGTATTCTGTTTACTTCAGCATTTCCGTTTCAATTCGGTATTCGGACTTATCATTCGGATTTCCATTTTATTCCGGTAGGCTGTTTATTGGGATCCGACAAATTGATACTAATCCAACATTCTGTTTGATTCGGATTTCTGATTAAGTAATTCTTAATTAGGTTTAAATCAGTATTCTGCTTAATTCGGCATTCTGATTTCTTTCGGTATTCAGTTTTTATTTCGGCATTCTGATTTTAATCCTGTATTTCGTTTTCCAAATCGGCATTTCCGTTTTAATGCAGTAGTGGAAATTAGGGTTACGAAAATTTTGGTTTTTCGCTCAACTGGGGAAATTCGAACGTTTTGGGAACCGTAAATCCGAAAATTCCGCCGAAACGCGGAAAATTAGGGTTGGGCCCGAAATTTTCGCGATTTTTTTTTTTTCTTTCCCCTTGTTGGAGAAATTCCGAAAACGGATTTAGGCCTTTAAAAATCGGATTTTGACGATGGAAATTCCCGAAAATTCACGTTTTTGAAAATTCGAGTGTTTTTTCTTCGGATTTTTTTCGAATTTTTTTTCGGCAAATTACTCCGAATCTGACCCTCAAGATTGCGACTTCCGGGTAGTTCACTAATTAACGGTGAACTCCCGGACTCAAAGATGATCTCAACGGATACCTAATCTTGATACAATTCAAATTCGTTCATTATCATTATTACAAATATTGTTTATTGATTATCATTACGAAATTTTATTGCAAACATTGTTTTATTGATTATCATTAAGAATTAGTATTTCGTTATTAATCATGAATTAATTTCATTGATTAAATAATTCGTTATTATTTCTTCTTATTACGAATTTTTGAGTTGTTTACGGGAAAATTATTTTTTTCTGTTTTGATTAGGTGTCTACAGTCCATCAGTGGGACAGGGGACTGTATGCGTATTGTTTGACTGTTCTACCCCTGTTCCCACTCTCCCTACCCTCCCCGTACTCTGTGACCACCGGGTTTTCTCAAGTACCACATCAGCTAGCACTGATGTCGATGGAACAAGACACCGGGGCACTGCCACGACGCAGTGCCAGGCTTGCAGTTCGTACCCGCCCTGCGGTACCTCCAAGACCCAAGCGACTCAGCAAGCGGAAGAATCCAGCAGCATCAAGTACAACAATAACAGTACCGGTTACCACCGGAGTTCTTCCCGCATGCCCGGTCCAAGGGGCCGGCGAGCCGTTGGCAGCTTACCTTCAGCGGGTACAGGCATTCACTGATGCCGTAGCTACCGCCAAGGCACAGGAGGAAGCAGCAGAGGCGGAACGTCAGCGGCTGGCCAGTGAGGCGGGAGCCCAAGCTCAGCAGACTGCTGAGGCTGATGCCATGGTGCGAGATAAGCGGAACGCCATTTGCATGGAGTCCTTGACTATGAATGAGAGTCAATGGATGACACTGCTCCAAGGCATGTTGTTTGTGCCTTCGGACACACAGGCGGACCCGACAACGGCGGAGGAAGAAAGGAGCAACCTGGCTAACCTGATGTTGAATATGATGCGGGCAATCATGTGGAACAATACGATGTTAATGGTGCAAATACACGAGGGCAGACAGCTGCGACAGATTCAGCAGAATGATTCTGCAGCCTTAACAACTGCTATTCGCGTTGCCGCCACACATCAGCAACAACAGCAACAGCTGTTGAACACCACCACCGCACACGTCAACAACATCGAGGCTAAGGCCTCAGCAGCGCCAGGCTGCACGACAGACGAGACGAGGCAGCTCAATGGGCGCATCGATCATGTCGTCAATCTCATCGGCGACATAGGTGTTTTCAATGGGCCGGACACGCTCAGTAGCACGGTGGCCGCCATCAAGACAGACATCACCAAGCTGCAGACGAGGCCGGACGCCGCTACGAAGACTTACAAGATGCCGCACTTCGACATCAGCAAGTTCGACGACTACAACAAGTCGGACGCCTTGACATGGTGGCAACGTTTCCTCACGGAAGCATCATGCCGCACTGTCCCGGCGGACGACATGATGAAGGCGCTCTACTTACAACTGATTGGAGGAGCGCAGGCTTGGATGAACCATCTGGCGGCTACCAACAACTGCACCATCGCCGAACTCCACACGCACATCACGTGGAAGGAGTTCGAGAAGCTATGGTTCACCCGGTTCATGGTCCGCAACGTCGTGAAGGCGGCCATGAACGAGGTGTACACCTGCTCTCAAGGGAATATGCCAACTCGAGACTGGACAACCAAATGGCAAAAGATAGTGACCACACCAGGCTTCGATTTGAGCTTTACCAATCAACGATCCGAGTTCTTCTCGCGATCATGCGCAGGACTGCGAACCGCACTCGGCAACGAGTACCATTACGCCTCATTCCAGGCCATCCTGGATCGTGCGAACTTGCTCATCCAAACGGATGACAAGGCCGCAAACGAACGGCAGTCCCAGCCGCATTATGTGGCTAAGCAGGGCTTTCAACGACCGGCACATAACAATGCCGTAATTTCTGAAGAAACAGTCGATCTCCACGCTGCAGCAGCATTCTCGAGTGATGGAGGATTTGTAGCAGCGCTCCCGCCGAAGCGTCCCAAGAGAGTTCGGAAGAACAAGGCGACACAAGAGACGACATCGACGGGAACTGGGCAGCAGCCATGGACGGCTTACAAGATAACCAAGGATGTCTATGACCTTCGTCAAAAGTACGGATACTGCCTTTGGTGCAATGGAGTCACTCATTTGACCGCACAATGCCCCGAAAAGGGCAAGGCACGCGTACCCCGTCCAACAAACTCGGGAAACTGAGTTACGCAAGGAGAGGGGCG